CCCATGTTTTCTGTTGGCCATGGTAGTTTTGTGTGCCAAGTTTGGTTCAATTCCGTCATTGCTAGCGTTCAGTATGCTCTTTGATTGTAGGTGAACTCTAAATCCCAGCAACTACAACTCCCAAATGACAAAATCAATCCGCCCCAACTCCATCAGTATTCAAATTAGGGCATATTGGGTATTTGTGCCAAATTTGGTCCTGTGAATGAAAATGCATCCTGCATAAAAGACGACATGACGATTCATCATAACAGTCGCCAAATTACAATTACGAAGTAGCAACGAAAATCATGGTATGGTTGGGGGTCACCACCACATGAGGAACTGTATGAAGGGGTCGCGGAATTAAGACGGTTGAGAAACACGGTCGTAACTGAGAAGCAGCAAGGGAAACAACAAGCTTGAGCCCCGCCATTCAAAATTCGGGAAAATATTTGCATGACAAAATCATTAAAATATTCCAAAAATTTTACAGAAATACCCACAACAATCAGGTAAATATTCATATAGACATTTCATACGTATATATTTATAATGGATATTTTTATATATTTATAATAAATATTTATAATAAACATTTATGTAAACATTTCATATCTATATAAATAAAAATGTCATGTTCGTTTGTGGGATTAACAGAACTCAAAAACCACAGGACAAATTGACACCAAATTTGGACACAAGACACCTAACAACCCAATGTATGTCCTTCACTCAAAAAAATTGATTTTGTCATTTGGGAGTTGTAAGTTGCTGGGATTTATAGTTCACCTACAATCAAAGAGCATTCTGAACCACCAACGATGGAATTGAACCAAACTTAGCACACAGTTCTCCCATGACCAACAGAAAATACTGGAAGGGTTTGGTGGGCAGTGTCCTTTGGTTTTAGAGTTGTAGTTCACCTACATCCAGAGATCACTGTGGACTCAAACAAGGATGGATCTGGACCAAACTTGGCACTGATACTCAATATGCCCAAATGTGAACACTGGTGGCGTTTGGGGGTTGTATTTGCTGGGATTTATAGTTCACCTGTAATCAAAGAGCATTCTAAACTCCACCAATGATGGAATTGAACCAGTCTTGGTACACAGAACTCCCATGAACAACAGAAAATACTGGAAGGGTTTGGTGGGCATTGACCTTGAGTTTTGGAGTTGTAGTTCACCTGCATCCAGAGAGCAATGCAGACTCAAACAATAATGGATCTGGACCGCACTTGGCACAAATATTCCATATGCCCAAATGTGAACACTGGTGGAGTATGGGGGAAATAGAATCTTTACATTTGCGAGTTATAGTTGCAGGGATTTGTAGTTCACCTACAATCACAGAGCCTTCTGAACCTCATCAACAATAGAATTGCGCCAAACCTTTCCAGAGCAGCGCGGGAGGGAGAAGCCTGTGGAGGGAGAAGCGCTCTCTGCTCTCCCACGGAGAACAGAGAGCGCAGCAGAGTGGACGCCATTCATTCCTCTGTAACAGACAATCCCTGGTGGCAAGGAAGGCGTGCGCAAGGAGGCGGTGCCAGTGGCGTGGCGAATCGAGGACTGAAGTTTTCTGACTTATGATTTTGATTTTTATGTCAGGAGCGATGCTGGCTTCCCTGGCCCGGAAACCTGGCCACGCCCACCCGGCACCGCCTCCACCATTCTCGCCACCAGGGATCTTCTGTGGTAGAGCAATGGCGTCCGCTCTGCTTCGCTCTCTGTTCTCCGTGGGAGAGCAGAGAGCGCTTCTCCCTCCACAGGCTTCTCCATCCCGTGTGGAAGGAGAAGCCTGTGGAGGGAGAAGCGCAGCAGAGCGGACGCCATTGGCGGCAGCGAGGGGCTTTGGACGGGCCGCGCGGTGAGGGGCTTTGGACAGGCCAGGACAGGCCGTGCGGGCCGGATAAAGGCCGTAGTTTGGGGACCCCTGGTCTATAGAATGCCTGGCAGTTTGGGGATGGGTAATATAGGATCCTGATTAGCAGGGAGGTGATGCTGCAAAAAGGTATGGAAGGGGTAATCTCCCCCCTGGTTCTAAAGGTCAGAGTGATCTGTCTATAACATGTTAGGACATGGAAAAAATCAATTGGTGACTGTGTTAACTGGAAATGCAAAGCACGGATCTGATTGGTTGGGCAACACCTAAGGAGCTACCTGAGCCTGGGAGTTTTGGCAACAGTTACATACTTGGGGGTTATCTGTGCAGGAGCTTACAGAGAGAGATATTTCTCGCTTCATGAGCTGCAGAAAGAGGATCCTCCACGTGGACACCTAAATACCATTTGAATCTCTCTAAAAATATATTGTGTAAGTCAACGCAACTGTTCTCAAGGTTGTATATATTGTCAATAAAATTCGGCCTCAGTGCAACTACAATGAGGCACGCAATGAAAACAAAGTGTGCAGTCCTTGGTCAAATTTCAACTTTTAATAACCGACCAGTTATGAAGAAGGGCGTTTGGAATTTGTGCATGTGTATATTGCACTCTGTATTGTATTTATTTCATTGCATTGTATGCTTTGAATTTCCGTAATGCTATGTGCCCATAACCCTTGTCAATAAAGTTCGGCCTCAGTGCAACTGCAATGAGTCACGCAATGAAAACAAAGTGCGCAGTCCTTTGTCAACTTCAAATCCTTGAAGTGCTACTTTTATTTAGTTACATTCTAAAAGCTACAGAAAAATAATAAATATAACTTTGTACAGGAGAAATCACACACGCGTCTTCCTCCTTCCCCGGCATGGCTGGAAGAGAACGCCCAGAAGTCTGTTATCAAAAAATCCACATCATTGGAATGTGTGACGTAGAGGAGGAAGGAGCAGCGTCAAGCGGGAGAACATGCGGTTCAAGAATAGGGCTCTACAGCCACTGTTGCACACCAAGGCTGGGGTTGGCACCTTTGAACCCGTATTTAATTGTTTAATTATTTATTTACCTCATTTGTATACCGCCTTTCTCAATCAGAGGCGACTCACACCAATGTTCTTTATAGCAAAGCAGTTGATTGAGGATTAATATAGCAACACCAAAAAAGGTACAAAGCATTCAAACAAGTAATAAAGAAATGTCCACAAAACACTCAGTTGAGCAAAGTAAAATAAGACAGTCAATTATTAGTCAGGAACCAGGAGGGTTGCAAAAATCCAATCAACAAGTCCACAGGAGTTAGAGTCTTTCAGTTCCAAAAGGTTGCAAAGACCAAAGTCCCTTGAAGAAACAGCAGCAAACTTGAACCATTAAATCCCAATGCAGGAGCTTGAAACCAGGACCAACCACATACAAGAATCTCAGCATGAACGTGAATCCCGGGCAGAAGTACACAGGAATCTAAGCATGAACAAGAAGGCATGGATACCAGGCATGAAACAAAAGGCGTGGTTACACATGAAAACCAAACGTTGAACTCATTGAAGAGTATAGATTCACAGGCCCTATATTTATTCAGAAAGCCATAGCAAAAGCATTCTGTTTCCCTTGGGAAACCTCTCCCTGACCCCTTTTTTCTCTTAATCTTTCAGACCATCTTCTCCCCCCTTCCAGGTGGCAATGTTGATTGTCTTTTCCCATCAAAGAGTGTCTGGTCTTTCCTTGGCTTGCCAATTAGTACATTCCTTTCACTATCACTATGCTTTCCTTAGCACACATCACAAAACCAACACACTTGCCCCTCCACACCCAAACCACCCCCACACAGCCCCCAATGCAACATCAATGCAAAACCACTGAGTTCTGTATACTTACAGCTCTGGAATAGAAGCTATCTCTCAGTCTGCTATCTCTCTAGTGAAATGTCTTTCTATATATTATTATATTATATATATGGAAAGTCTTATATGGTGTTGTTCTAATCTCTGGTTTGCTAGTTAAACTGAATTACTTTGTCTCAAAAGGATGCATTTCTAAAAAGTGTTTCAACAACATAAAAATCGAGAAAGCTCTATCTGGGAAACTCTCTTTGGAGTCAAACACCGCTGTTCTCTCCAATGTGAATTCTGTGTCTATGAAGATTTCAGCTCTCAAAGAAGCTTTTTCTACACACCATGCGTTCAGAGGGTTTCTCCCCAGAGTAAGTCCTTTGATGTGAATGTAAACTTGAACAAGGGGTGAAGCTCTGTCATCACTCATGGCATTTATAGGATTTCCCCCCAGTGTGAGTCCTTTCATGTGAACGTAGACTTCCACTCTGAGCAAAGCTCTGCCCACACTCCCGGCGCATATAGGGTTTCTCCCCAGTGTGAGTCCTTTGATGTGAACGTAGACCTGAACTATGGATGAAGCTCTGCCCACACTCCCGGCATGTATAGGGTTTCTCCCCAGTGTGAATCCTTTGATGTGAACGTAGACTTCCACTCTGAGTGAAGCTCTTTCCACACTCCAGGCATTTACAGGGTTTCTCTCCAGTGTGAGTCCTTTGATGTTTATATAGATGTGAACTATGAGCGAAGCTCTTTCCACACTCTGGGCATGTATAAGGTTTCTCCCCAGTGTGAATCCTTAGATGCAAACGTAGACCTGTAGTATGAGTGAACCTCTTTCCACACTCCAGGCATGTATAGGGTTTCTCCCCAGTATGAGTCCGTTGATGTGTATGTAGACTTCCACTCGTAGTAAAGCTCTGCCCACAGTCCAGGCATGTATAGGGTTTCTCCCCAGTGTGAATCCTTTGATGTAATCGTAGACTTGAACTCTCAGTGAAGCTCTTTCGACACTCCTGGCATTTGTAGGGTTTCTCCCCAGTGTGAATCCTTTGATGTGATCGTAGATGTCCACTCATAGTGAAGCTCTGCCCACACTCCAGGCATGTATAGGGTTTCTCCCCAGTGTGAATCCTTTGATGTGAACGTAGACCTGAACTATAAGTGAAGCTCTGCCCACACTCCAGGCATTTATAGGGTTTCTCGCCAGTGTGAATCCTTTGATGTGAACGTAAACTTCCACTCTCAGTGAAGCTCTGCCCACACTCCCGGCATGTATAGGGTTTCTCTCCAGTGTGACTCCTTTGATGTGAACGTAAACTTCCACTCTGAGGGAAGCTCTTTCCACACTCCAGGCATGTATAGGGTTTTTCCCCAGTGTGAATCCTTTGATGTCTATGTAGATATGAATTCTCAGAGAAGCTCTTTCCACACTCCAGGCATGTGTAGGGTTTCTCCCCCGTGTGAATCCTTTGATGTTTATGTAGATCTGAACTCTCAGAGAAGCTCTTCCCACACTCCAGGCAGGTATAGGGTTTCTCCCCAGTGTGAGTCCTTTGATGTTGTTTCAGATGACTCCTACAAGTGAAACTCTTCCCACATTCCAGGCATATCAATGCTTTCTCCTTCATGTCAGCCATGATACGGGTGTTTAATTGCAATACAGATGCTTCAGTCTCCTTTTTTCCTTCCTTATCTGTATGTGAGGTGAAGATTTCAGCAAGTCCATCACCTAGAGAGAAGTTCTTCTTCCTATATTATTGATTTCATTGCTGCATCCAAGGGGTGGCTCCATAGAATCTGCATTTCCCTGGTTAAGAAAGAAGCAAAATAAGAAAGATGAAAGGGAGAAACTTCCTTTACCTCCACGATTTCCCCCTTTCCCTTCATGGGTCATGTTGAAAATGGAAACACTCAGAAATGCAAACATCAGGGTCTTCAGAGGTTCTGTGGGACAATGAAGCAAGTTGAGTGTCTCTATCCCTGTGGAACAATGTCCAGGGTGGGAGAAAGAACCCTTGTCTGCTTGAAGCAGGTGTGAATGGCCCAGCATTCCTGCATTTTCAAATAAGATTCTGTGTCCAGCACTCAGAAACAGGAGAACTCCAGACAGCAAGCAATCAAGTGCCAGTTAACACCTCCCAAACAGAGGGTGCCTCCAGGAAACAGAGGCCAGGCCACCTCTGCAGATATCCTCACTGATTGACTCTGCAGACTTCATGGCTACTCCAATGCCAATTCAAGCTTGCTCATTGCAACATTCACCCTTGCTTCAAATAGACAAGGGTTCTTTCTCTCGCCCTGGATATTGTTCCACAGGATATATACACTACTCCACTTGCTTCACTGCCAAGAGAACCTCTGAAGGGGCCATTAGCTACAGGTTCAGGCAAAACTTCAGGAGAGAATGCTGCTGGAACATGACCAGACTGGCCAAAAATGTACAGCAAACCCCATACATTCTTAATGGCTGGTCAGAATACAAAGATAATAGGCCTGGGTAACAACGGAAAAATTTGTTTCTAAAATCGATTCGTTTTTTGCGGTTTTTTGCGTTTCAATATTTAAAAGAATTCCGAATTTTTTTTAAAAAAAAAAGTTCGATATTTACGAAATTTTGTAAATGGTAAAAAAATTACAAAACAATAACGAAACAATAACGAATCGATTCGTTAATGGCGGGCGCGACCGCGCAATACGCTAAAAAACCTCCAAATGGGACAGGGGAACTTCTGAAGCTTCCCTCTCCCTCTGTTGTTGACTGTTGGTGTGATATTATAATTTTTTTTCACTAATTAAACAAAAAACAACTATAAAACTTGCCCCAGACATGCGGAAATAATAACGAAACGACCTCAAACCAATAACGAAACGAATACATAACGAAATACGAAGCATTTACGAAACGAATTGAAAAATTCGTTTCGTTTTTAAGTTGCTCCAGAATGGTTCGTTATTGCTTCGTTAACAAAAAAAATAACGAATTTTTAACGAATTACGAATTAACGAAACGAAACCGCCCAGCCCTAAAAGATAACACACCAAACAGCCCTTTTCCTTTATAAAGCAACGTGTCTGAGAACTGCGTATCTGGAGGCGATTGGGGTCAACTGTAGGGGTGACGCACATATCTGAAGTGGCTTGGGATTGTGTAATCGCTATTTTAACCTTCATTTTAACCTTCGTTTTTAATTTTTGTGGTATGAAATTTTATCTTGACATTTTAATGATAATATTTTTAGTCATCTTTTAACCTAATGTGTGTTGGTTCGCTGTTGTGGGGGTCTTGGGATGGTGATTGTTGTCTGTTTGTGCACGTGTCTGTTTTTGTTTTTAATGTTGATGCGGTCAATAGACTATTCAATAAACTTTGTTGTTGTACAGCAACCCAGTGATTCCGGCCATGAAAGCCTTCAACAAAACATTATTAAAAACATGCCTCGTCCAGAGATATTTCTCCCCCAGCTGCCAGTTAAAGGTCTGCTAAAGGGTGAAAAATTGTAACTTTTCCCCGTCTTTATTGTTCTTTCTTGCCTTCCTCCTTTGGGAGGGGGAAATATGATATCGAGGCAGTTTGCCCACTCTGTCCACGGGATGGCAACACAGAGGGTCCTCCACGGCTCAGGGGCGCACTTCCCTAATTGGCCACTGGATGGAGGCAAAGGACTGCGGGTCAGAATCTCAAGGCGAGTGCAATATTCCCGTGCCCACAAGAGGGTGTCACGAAAAATTAATATGCAGATTTGATCAATGTGGATTTAATATCATGTGTGGGAATGAATGCAAGAATGGAAGGATGAATGGACGGAGTTAACAATTTTGGAATCACCTGTAAAATATTAAGGCCAGCCATGATTTTAACAGGAGCGGAGCGCAGGGAGCATACAACCCCCCTGTTGCGCCAACTCCACTGGCTACCGATCTGCTACCGGGCTCAATTCAAAGTGCTGGCGTTGGCCTTTAAAGCCCTAAACGGTTCCAGCCCAAGCTACCTATCCGACCGCATCTCTGCCTATGAACCCACCAGGACTTTGAGATCTTCCGGGGAGACCCTGCTCTCGATCCCGCCTGCTTCTCAAGCTCGGCTGGCGGGGACGAGAGATAGGGCCTTCTCGGTGGTGGCTCCTCGGCTGTGGAGCGCCCTTCCTACGGACATTGGACTGGCACCATCTCTAATGGTATTCCGCAAGGAGGTGAAGACCTGGATGTTTGTGCAGGCGTTTGAGTAATTTAGTGCAATCTGGTAATGGAACATAGGAATGGAACAATGGACGACGAACCTGGACTACGCTTGGATGATGAGAAGATTGGGTACGGTTGTTTTTTGTAATAATTGTGCATTGTAATTGCTTATTGGTAATTTATGGATAATGTGTTAAGTCAATTGTTATATGTTGTATGGAACCACTGCTGTTCTACTGTTTTTACTGTTTGTGAACCGCTGTGAGTCGCCTTCGGGCTTGAGATACAGCGGTATAGAAGCAAAGTAAATAAATAAATTTGTGCCAAATTTGGTCCAGTGAATGAAAATTAACTAAAAAGAACTGAAAAGAAAACTGTGATAAGAACTGCAAAGTGATAAGATAAATGTTTACAATGTTAAGAAGGAAGTCAACACAAGGGAGTAAAGGATATGGTAACATTTGGATGCATGGTGATGGATGCATGCACATATATGTGAATGGTGATTGAAAATGTAATTCCCCTTTATTTCTCTGATGAGCCAATGTAACTGTAAATTGTTTGTGAATCTAATGCAGGATCTGCCTCTTTTTGTGACTGCTATGAACCTACAAGATTTTCCTCTAGGAACCTATGCGATCTCCAAGATCCTCTCTCGCTTCCACCCCCGTCTCARGCACGATTGGTGAGGATGAGGGAGAGGGCCTTCTTGGTTGTGGCCCCCCGGTTCTGGAATTCCCTCCCCACGTAATCAGTATAGCACCCTCCTTATGCACTTTCTGCAAAGAGTTAAAGACGYGGATGTTCTGCTGTGCTTTTGAGGAGACAATTCCTTAGATAGTTGGCCCCAGCTAGGACCCAAARGCATGRCCTCGCACCTTATTGCTGCCATACGACCTMWGCAGTTTCGTTATTTATTTACTGAAAACATTGATATCCCGTCCTTCTCAATCCCTAAAGGGGGGACTCGGGGCGGCTTACAATTRGCAATCATTAGATGYCGACAAAGAASTATTAYGGCACAGCGATTAGCGTAAACAGGTCAACAACAGTAAAAACACATKGAAAATACATTAAAAATAATGGCCCTTGTAATGAATCYCTTACYTTGGCTAGCTGCCTGAGGCCTAAGGGAGTGGGCCTGGCGAAGCCACGGCATCCATTTTAGGAAAGGGAAACAAGGAGAAGCCATCTTAGGTTAGGTTTTGCCTTAAGGGGGCGTGTCCAAGTCTTGGAGGGAAAGTTAGAAGGCTGGGATTGGTTAGGAAGATGGGGGGGGCGGAGCCTAAGTGGTTTAGAGGAAAAAGTCTCTTTTAAACTGAGSCTTGAGGTCCAAGTTTGCGAGTTAGSRTTTGGAGCTGTTAGAGAGAAGWAGTGTTGGTGTTAGTGAGAGAGAGTTTGTGTTTGAAGAAGAAGATTARGGTTAGTCTTTTGTGTAGTATTCAGAAGAGCTATTGAGTAGATAGCTAGAATACTGGTTTGTARGAGCAGCACCCCGTTAGTGGTCTGTTCAATTCCTAAGGAAGTCTAGTTCARGGTTTTTGGCTAGATTCCTAAGGGGCATTTTTGGGAGTTACTATCAGRGAKTYATTTCCTGAAGTAATTTKCTGTGGTGGAACTTTTAAGACTTGTAACCCAKAAGTTTTTAAGATCTTTACTCTAACGTAACCATAAGCTTTTATGCCAGTATTTTACGGAAACCATTAAGCATTTGTACCTGAATTATTCAAGCCTGTTCAATAAACGTTCTTGCTATTTTTATCAACTTATACCGGCCTCAGTGTGAATGCCTTTGCGGTCAAAGCATTACTAAGGACAGCTTCACAGCAGCTTTTCAGAACCTATAGTGACACAGTGTGGGTCACAGAACAATCTCTCAATATAACCTCAGCCTGTTTGAATAATAGTAAGATGGTGGCAGTGGAAATCTTTTGAGGAATCATTTTAAAACTCTCAGTTCCAGTGGTTCCCAGTTCCACACTTTTAAATATACAGTTGGTTCAGCAACCATACTTCCTCTACCTTTTGTGAGTTTCATAATTTTGGCTGAACAGAGTGTTTGGGAATTATTTTATATAGATTCCCCTGTCTCAATAATTTAATTAAAAATCTTACTCTTGTCTTGTACTTCCTTACTGCTGGTGGGTGGTGTGGTTGTTATAGCCCTTAAAATATTAAGCAATATATAGAACACAAATATCGATTACTAAGATACACAAAGTATTATGTTGGTGTTAGTGAGGGGGAGTTTGGGTTTGAAGAAGATTAGGGTTGGTCTTTTTTGTAGTATTCAGAAGAGCTATTGAGTAGATAGCTAGAATACTGGTGTGAAGATGTTTTTTTTATTCTTATGGTATATGTTGTTTAAGCAGTAGTTAATAAATGGTAAGTATTAGGGCTGGGCAACCACGGAAAAATTTGTTTCTAAACTCAATT